GTTAAGTACATAACTCCACATGTGTTCATTCATAGTTTTGATGCCTTCAGTGAGAATCTACAATGTAAATAGTCATGAAAATAAAGAAAACGCATTGAATGAGAAGGTGTGTCCAAACTTTTGGCCTGTACTGTACATGCATGGCGCACACACACACACACACACACACACACACACACACACACACACACACACACACAGCAGAGGAAGCCGTGGAATTGGTTCTCTGTTTCTATATTACCTATACATGGCAGGCTGGCCCATAGATCTCCCCCTGACTTGGCCTTGGCTCTGGAAATCTAGTCAGGAAACAACTAGAGGGTGAAGGGTGAGATGGGTTGCGGTTGGATGGAGTGTGGGTGGGGGGTAGGTGTGAAAACAAAAAGGACCTGGTTTGTTTACAGAATGTATCGATGAAATCCGTGTTTGCATCCCTTCCAGAGCGACGGCGAGGTACAGATTGCAGCAGTGAATTAAGATGCAGATACACGCGAAAGAGGCAGAGCGTGAGGTCAGCAGAAGGAACGTGGGAGGGTGTGGAGACGGAGGGAGAGGTGACAGGGAGTTTCCATGCTGCTCAGCCTGTTGTGCTTCATTCTTGTGTGCGGCCTCCTTCCACTCAACAATAAAAGCCATTTAAGATACAGATGCAGCCATTGCAGAGTAATTTGCAGCTGACTGCACTTCGTTATTCGTAGGAGCGTAAGTGCTTGGGAAAATCAAATAGCCTTCTCTTGTAAAAGGAATGATCTAGTGACCAGTTCAACTTTTGACTCTGAGGAAAAAACGCTCATCTGTTATACTGCACATAAATAATGAATAGGTATAAAATGACTGCAGGTTTAATTGAAGAAATTTCTATGAATGCTCCTACTGTTAACACACACACACACACACACACACACACAAACAACACACTCTGCTTTAATATTAGGTTTGAAATAAAAGCCCTAAATTCTCTGAAGACCCGAAGCCTAATTAGAAAAAGAACGATTTCAATTTAGAGAGCAGGACAATGTAGTGCTTTTTCAGCATTGTATTTTTCCACTATCGATCAAAGGGTTCCTCTCCCCTTTGTTCTGCAAAAACAAGTGAACACCCAGATGCCATCTGTACTAAGTGAAACTGTGGTGCAGCAACTTTTTTGTTAGCTTTTCTAAAATGTTCCTTACGGTACACAGACAGCCGTATCAATTCTCTTATTCAGTTTATTCAAGCAAAGCTGGTGAGACACTGAGCCGGGGCTGTAATAACAGCTGAACGCAGTAAGTACACACACTTTTCTGAACTACACACCCATTCATACATTCATGCACAAAGTCTGCAAAGAACACACACACACACACACACAAAGCGAGCCCCAGTCAGTGGATGTGATCTGGCATCTACAAAGACACCTCTGTTTCAAACATCACTGGAGACCCCCCTCTATGTTATCCATACAGCTACAGCAATTGGTGCTGGTTTGCGGGCACCCTTGTGTGTCTAGGCGTAGGTCCCTAAAATCACATTCAGTGCTTGTTTAACAGTGACCATTCTGCAGCAGAACACACACACATGCAAGTAAAGAACATAGGACTCTATGGACACTATAAAGTGCCTCTGACACTAATGCAGCGTAGAGAGCGTAACTTAGACACCCTGTATGGAAACGCCAATAAACACTGACACACCAAGGAAGAACATAAAGAACACCGTCATGTTATGATGTTACAGCCACAAATCTCTTGTGGCTGACAGCATGCTGTGCAATACAGAAATAATATATCATCATTATTTTTCCAAGTTGTGACAATATCTGACAGGTTGTTTTGAAACAGTGGAAATTAAAGAGAAGGCTTGCGTGAGTATTTTATGTGGTATTCTTACTGAAGATCCTCTATTCAAGTATAGTGTTTTCTCTAGAGCTATAACAAGTAATGTATTGATAGATTACTTGATTGACAAAAAATTAATCTGCAACTATTTCAATAATCTTTTAACTGTTCCACTCATTTTTTCTAGCATAAAAGCCAAACATTTAATGGTTCCAGCTTTTAAATTTTTGAGGATTTGATGCTATTTTTTTGTCTTATGTGAAAAATTAACTGAATATCTTTGGGTTTTGGATTGTTATTGAACAAAAAAAAGGAATTTGAAGTAACCAACTTGGGCTTTATGAAATTGGAACAGGCATATCCCAACAGTTTCTTTTAATCAAATGATTCATCAAGAAAATAGAAATGTTACGATACCATTTTTGCCTTCTGATTCTCATATTTGAACTTGTGTATTGGCAGATATCAAGTACAGATTTGATACCATTATGTAAAAATGAACAGCTGCATACTAACCCTGTATGGATATGACATGATTACTATCGTTGTATGGCATGGATCAGGTTAAACGCTAAACTGACGGGACTTTCCGGAGTAAAATATTGCCAAATTGCTGACATTTTGCTCACTGCTAACGTTACACTTTTTAATCAGCAATCTATTCTTCTTCACTGCTCTGAAACAGTGGTTGGCAGTGGCTGCATGGCACATATTTTTGTGTATGCTACTGTTTTAGGACAGCGATGATGAACTGATTTTCAGGAAAACTGCCATTTTATGCGGGTATGAAACTACTTTACGTGCATTAATAAATAATGTGGTGTCAGATTAGTGCATAGACTCGCTGATACCTGATCCAGCATTTTAGGCAGTATCAGAGGCACTTCCGATACTGATATTAGTATCAAAGCAACTCTAAAAGAAAATAATATGCGGATGAATCAATAATGGGAGCACAGAAAACCTGTGTGATAGATAGATAAAGAGCAACAAAGAACAGTGTGTAATTAAACTTTCACTGACACAGACACAAGACCTTCTGAAAACTGGGAGTTTTTCTCCAAAGGCCAAATATGAACATATGTCTGTCTTTTAGTGAAACATTGGGCTTAAATGGTCTATTTGATGTCACAGCTTCTCTGTGGCTGCTTTGTATCTCCCCTGTGAAGTGTTTCATTTCATTCAATTAACCGTGCAAGTGTATGCAACCAATGGATGCAATTCACAGCCTTTTTCAAGGTTTATAGACCGTGCTGCGGCGGGTAAAACGCTGCGCTCACCCAGATCTATCATAACAGCCTGACAACTGACAGAGCGCTCAAACAGAACGTGAAAATGACAGACAGACAGGAAGGGAAGTGAGGAAGAGAAGTCTTGACTTCTAGTGTTTCTCACACCCACTCTTGTATCAACACACACACAGGCACACACGCACCAAATGAGAGTGACTAAGTCTCGCCCTAGGCTTCATACAGTAGCTCTTAACAAATTCAAGCCTTGCCCAATCATTTCCCTTCTCTCTGGGTTGCCATAGCTACAGCCTGCCTCCTTGTCTGTACTTTGGGAAGGGTGAGACTTTACCACTGTGTGTGTATGTACATGCGTGTGTGTGTGTGTGTGCTGTGTGGTAACCCTACCAGATGGGGGTCTTAACACTTCCTATCTGTCAACCTTACATTCACACTCCTGCTGGAAGCTGTGAGTTAGCAGAGAGGTGAGCTGCGCTGAGAGAAGGGAGAGAGTGTTGGATGTGATTGCTTGTGACCCCACATGTGTCCTCCCATTCAGTGCTGACACCGTGTCTAAAGAGCAACAACATGGCTTTTCTTGTAGAGAGAATTGACTGCGCTCTCTTTTTTATTACCTTCTCAAATCTAAAATGTACTTCACATTTACTTCAATAAATCCGTGACTGAAATCAGGAACTATCTGATCAAAGAATAAATAAACAAGATTATCTATTTGACCAGAAATTTGCTGCCAGCTTTCAAGGTGCATTCCTTAACTTCCGAGTTCCCAATCAGACCTTTAAACTCTCATGCCCCTTGAAGTCAATTTCCAACTTGGAAAGCTGCAGGAACCTCACCAACCCTGACCTCAAAATCCATTTTGGCTGCTCAGCGCATCAACAGTTGCGAAAACTGTAGTAATATTCAGTTCATTAGCACTTCTGTCATATTTGTGTCTCATTAAAACAGTCGCGCACGCACTCCTGTCCAACTTCTATCTGTGGACATGCTGCTACAGCGTCTGTACGGCTAACATCATCATGGTTTTCCGTTTGGTACACACACATTTCGGTGACAAAAAAGTATTGAGTTTTGGTGCCAACACTTAGGTACTAATTTCTTAAATGTTAGGATTTGTTGGCCATCTCTGCTTTATATGCTTAGAAATCTAATATCTTTAGGTTTTAGACTGCTAATTGGACAAACAAACATTTTAAAGACCTCACCTCTGACTCTGGAAGATTGTGATGAGCATTTTTATTTTATTTTCTAAAACTTCACCCCACTCCTAATAATATCTAATATTTATTCTCTTTTTGATGGGGATCTTTTTCATGTGTAGTATTAACAAAAAAGCTTCTATCTCTTGGAGTGCGTGTTTGTTATGCATTGATGATTTATGATAAGACAATATGAAAATCTCCCGAGATACAGTGATTCACTGTTTACCAAACAAACACTGTCAATCTGGAGAGGAAGACGATGCAAAGATTTATTAAAGAACAGAGTAAAGCGCAGTTTGTGAAGCTATCACGAGTCAGTGGCGAAGGTGGGAAAGAAGTGTTTGTGTATGTGTGTGTGTGAACATGTAACAGCACCCCAAGAGATCTCCTACTTCTGTAAACAGGACAGAGAAGGCAGGACTGACGTGCAAGGGATGGAACTGTGTGTGTGTGTGTGTGTGTGTGTGTGTGTGTGTGTGTGCCCGCGCATGCTCAAGGCCTATGTGTGTCTTCAGAAGTGTGCTTCTCAATGCACTACACCAGATGTCACCTTGCAAGCATGCCACACAGGTGTACGTGTGTGTGTGTGTGTGTGTGTGTGTGTGTGTGTGTGTGTTTGTTTGCTATCAGGTAGATGACAAGAATGATATAAACACTTGAGGATCAACATATCACTAAAACTCCCACCATCTGCCCGCCAGCAGACACATATAAACACAGTCTTCTCTTACTCTGCAATTTCTTTATCTCCCTGCATCGCTCCACTTTTCTCTCTGTTCTCGCTCTCTGCAGTCCTGCCATCCATCATCATTAGGAGGCGAATAGATGACCTGTCTACACCTGCAACCACTCTCTGTCCCTTTACTCTCTGGAGAGAGGAGAGGAGAGGAGAGGAGAAGAGAGGAGAGGAGAGGAGAGGAGAGTGGTTTTAACCATTTAAGAAACACTTAGGTTCAGTAGAAGGAAAAAGGATGCAGATACAATAAATAAAGCTGTGTTGTCTATTCATTCCACTTCTCTAAATCAAATATTAGGCTTGGGCGCTATCTAGTTTTTACTACCTTCATACCTTCCTGAAATTTCGCCGGGGCATGCAGCATATGACTTATCATATATCCCTCAACAGGAAACTAGCTAGCTGGTGGCTAGCTCTGAGAGCTAATACTTCAGTTTCAGCTAACGATAGCTAGCCCTGGCCCCGAAGCACCAAGTTTGCTACGTTCCATAAGCTTTCTTAACTTTTTTAGTCTTCTAAACTCACAAAATGTCAAGAAAGATTGAAATCTGAATTAAACTTTCTTCCATCATAAAACATGCTTTATTAAAACTCGACAGAAACACAATAAAACTCCCCCATTATCTCTCTCTGTTGTTGCTAGCCAGCTTTAGTCCTGTAACATTATCCCCATCACTCGCAGTCACTGTCTTTCTCAGCTAAGTTCCTGTTCCACCGATAGATTCTGACCTCTGGTGGCACATGCTGTGCATTACAACAGTGGTTCCCTACTGGTGGCTCATGATCTAAAAGTGGGTCACAGGTTTGTTCTGAATGGACCACAAGTGACCCACAAACATGTTAAGTTTGTCAAAAACACTTTATTTTTAAGTACAGGGAATTTCAGGCACAGAGTTTTCATTTTTAAGTGCCATATCCTGCTGTAAAGTGAGTGACTAATGTACAGCTTCTCAACAGAGACAGCAAACAAGTTTGACGACAAGTATGATGTTTAATATATCAAACTGTGTGGACCTTGAACTAATGACTAAAGGTGCTCACAGACTCGGGCGTACTATAAGCAGAGTGGACTCCGCGAGGAATGTCCGCAGTCATTCGGGCTTCCATAGTCGAGCGCACTTCTGTAAAAATGTCCGTGAAAAATCCCCGCGATGTGAAAAATACATGCCGAGCAGTCTTTTGTGTGACACTGGTGCGCGGAGCGAAATCCGCGCGGTCGTAAAATCTGAGCCTTGCACGCACAGGGCTTGCGGACATCCGCTTTTAGTCCGGGCGGACCTCCACGGAGTCCGCTCTGCGTACGTTCCGCCCGAGTATGTTTGGGCCTTAAGCAGAAATCCGGACCCTGTGGCTGGACCAGTTGGGAACCAATGCACTAGAAAATATCGCCTCAATACAGCTTTTCCATATCAGTTAATTTGAAAAGGGTCATTTGTATTTTTGATGGTATTAATAATCATACTGTCTGGATTTCTAAATACCCTGCCATAATACTCTACTATGGCTTAAGCCGAATATATATGCCGTATATGTGAAGATCATACCGTCTCTCATCTGTGAATTAAAACCGATAATAATATGTAAAGCAGTATAGCGAGACAGTCTTGTGATAAATCATAGGTAATCTAAATGAGTCCATTCTGACACAGAACTATGGAGGCGCTCTCTATTATAAGCAGATCAACAACTGTTCTCGCAATTTCACACTTTGCACTGAGTAAACAGACTTGCTCACTCTCTCAGAGGTTTCTGTGTATTTACACTGAAATGCTAATTCTGACACATTGCTCTCTCTCTTGTTGTGCTTGGCCACACTACTCCGAGTATGACAACACCAAATAAAGCCACGTCCCAAGAGTATAATTAAAACCCTGGCTCAGAGATCTAAAAACAGTATCTACAAACGTGTCATCAATTTATTTATGATTTGCTTTTGTTTACGTGCATAATTCTCTGCGATTCAGCTCAAGTTATAACGGTAACACTGCCATCGAGTCAGTATCTTGATGAACCTTTACATCCCTACAGGAGGATCAAAGACAATAGAGACAAACGCAGAAAAGAGGGGGAGAAGCACAGGATGGTACAAGAGAAAAGGATGGGACTGGCTAAGAAGGAGGAGGAGAGCGGCGGAAGGAAGTATGCGGATGAGGGGAGGACGAGCAGAGGACAAAGTATTGTCTCCTGTTAATATGTAAAAATAACTCTGCTGCTGCCTGGTGGAGGAGCTAACTGGGTCAGAGAATTCCCACAGAAAGAGAGGGAGAGAGGGAGGGATCACACTGATTCAGTCTGTGGTATCAGTGTGAAGCAGAAGTCAGTCTCTCTCCTCACCTTCGGCTGCTCAGGCTCAGAGGCATCGCCGTGCACATCCATTCCAGGTATTTGTTCTCCATCCATTCATCCATCCATCCATCCAATAGTCTGCCCCCGAACTCACACCTTTTCACCTCCCCCTTTCCTTTGTCTCTAGCTGCTTTGTTATACCCTCATGTCCCATGAGGTGCGGAAAATGACACAAGTACAAATAAAAAATTATAAATAAATAAAAATAAATAAATATGTAAATATTTAAATAAATTTATAAATAACATACAAACAGAAATACATAAATAAATACATGTAGTTGTACAAAAATGTAGAAATGAATTTAATATTTATATTATTATTTTATATTATTATTATTTACTGTTATTTTTATTTACCACCCTTTTTAATTATCAGCTTTTATTTATGCATTTGTGATTTATTTCCTTATTTATTTGAAATTCTTTTAAAGAATTTACTTTTATTTATTCATTTATTTCTTGTGAATTTTCAGCATTAATTTATTCGTTCATGTATTTATTTTCACATTTATTCATACATTTATTTATATCTGTATTTACCTTTTAATTCCTGTCTTTATTTCTATATTTATTTGTTTCCATATGTATTAATTTATTCCTGTATTTATTTATACATTTTTTTAATTTAGTTCATTATTTATTAATTTATTCCAATACATATTTATACATTTATTTATTGATACTTAAGTTATTTTTCATCCACCATACATCCCTCCCTCTCTCCACTTATAAACAAAGCCTCTAGCTAGCCTCCCTCCCATTCTGCTTCCTGGTTCTTCTCTAACAATTAACCTGGTGTCATTTTCTCTTTTGTTGTTTCTCTTCTCTCTCCATAAATACACATTTCTAACACACCCCTCTTAATGGGTAAATAAAAATGAGTGTGTCATACACTGCCAGTTAATCTATTCATAATACAGCATTTAATTACCCAGCAGTTAAGCAACGAGTGACACAACTTGAACTGATGATAATGATGGTAGAAGTGACTGATAACCTTGTAGGAATATGAAGAACTCCAGTCATTATATTTCGGTCTGTATTATTATCAGTGGCACAAAATCAGTCCCCGATTAATTTGATATTGCACTCTTAAGACATCAGGTAATTTGCTGGGTCTACAAAGCCATTATTTAATTTGATGTTAATTTGTTTAATTTACAAACTAATTCACAGTGATGTTGATGTCAAGTTACTCAATTACTTTATCCAAGGTTTTTGGTCACATACGTTGTGTGTCATAGATTTTTTGCAAGGTCTCTCTTTTCTTAAGTCTTATCTTTTCTATTTCAGTCATAACTTTGTCCCATTCCCATCCATCAAATGCATGCCACGTCTATCGAAGCCTGTGCACCTACCTATTATGGCACGGCATAATTATGTGGTGCACCTGAAACAGTTTAGCTAAATGTGAGCACAACTCCACCTTTAAACTTTTCCTAAAACTTCTTTTCTTCTTACCCACTCTATCTGCTGAGCTGTTTGTGCAGCAGATCTGAGGTTTAAAGATTATTTGTTTACATAACCACACAAAACCACCCATTTTAAAATGATTTCCAATATTTAAGCTATTTTCAGATGGACTCTAAATTAAAAAGACGCTGTGAAGCTTTTCCACAGTATCTCTCTTACAGTTTTTAATCTATGAAATGTAATCCCATGCAACAAATATTTCATGGTCTGCTGTGTTTCCTGGGTTTTTACCGTTGCCCCAGCCAACACCGCGGCTATAAGAGTAACCCATAAACCATACAATGTGCATTGGTCAGCAGTTCCAAGCAGTAATTAAAATCTTTATTGATGAGGAATGCAGTAAGCATACTAACCATTTTGCAGACAATTCATCAGGCTACTGTACGCACTACACGACCTCTGTGTGTGTTAGCGAGAGCCATACATCTCGAAGACAAATGAATAGTAGTGCTCTTACACTGGGGGATGTCACACCTGTGTATTCTCTCTTGAACTCAAATAGTCAGAACATGCAATTTTTTTTGACAGTGTAAAGCGATAATGTGAAAAATGAGTATGCAAATGAGGTAAAGGTCGATCTACTGCTGAATAATCAATCTCACCTTTACCTCTTTGTTCCCTTTACCTGCCATGTTTCTGCTAATTCATAATTTTTCTTGTTAACTGTATGCAGATTACCCTATTTCCACTAAATCCATACATGTCAGTGCTTGGGTAGATATTTAAAATGAATCTAGAGCTTAAAATGATGAAGAACTAAAGGCCTCAATGGATTAACCTGCAGGGCTGGTCTGAAATGGGCAGGGCTACTTCTTGGCTGGCTGACGGGGCAACAGAAATAGCTTGAGCTGACTACAGCATATGTAATGCACTGCAGCAGTCCTGAAGGCTTCCATGTTTTTGCATCCAAACCACCTGCTCTATTTGTGTGAAAGAAATGCTTCATGTGTTTGTGAACGGGAGTATACATGTGACGGTGACATTTATGGCGTGTTTATGGAAGAAAAGAAGAGAAATACTTAGGGGATAAATAACTCCCGCACATCTTAATGGTGCAGTGGTACTCTGCAGGCTTTTAAACCGACCGGTCCATGAACATAAAACACAATATTATCCTTGTCATGAGGAGGCCTTTAGTTGAAGACACACTGCACTACAGTGCTGCTACAGTAATTCTTTGACAGCACATAACTTCTCAGACATCACTGGGAGAAAGCACTATGTAGCTTGGCTTCTGTGGGCCATCTATGGGTTTTGGTGTATAAGTGGAAAATTGAAAAACTGTTGGAATGTGTTTCAGCTGTGAGCTGC